TTTTCATGGTATTAAATAAAATATTTTTGTAATGAGATGCAATAAAAACAACTTTGTGCATCAAAACCAATCATTTCACGCTGAAAAGCTTGATTTTCAAAAGTCAACAAATTTGCTACAGCTGAACGTATCATCTTTGACAAGCCAAGCATGTCAGTCTTTGAGTAACACAAAATAATGTTTTATAATTACCCAAATTAAAACACAGATTACCACTTACGCATGTTATCACGTCCGTCAAGAACTGAAAATATTGATAAAACACTCTCATGGGCATCAGTCGCTTCACTGAATACTTGCCGCTGACTAAGAAATAAATAATTATTACTTTACGATCCATCTGTTTTCAAATCCACATAATTTGAATATCACAGCATTGATGTCTGTCAAACAATAACGTGCACGATACACGGTTATATTTACGAGAAACCTCACACTACCGGATGTTTGGACTAAGTCATCGCTTTCCGAAAAGAAGGAGAAAATGATGGCCTAACTCGTTTATCACATTGATTTAAATAGCATAATGTTGTACCATACTGATATAAAAATACAAAGAGAAAGAATGTTGCATTAAAGTGCATTAAACAAAATATTACATCAACATTTCCCAAACTGGGCTTTGTGAAGAAACTGCAGGGATTTGTGAGTTTAATAATAAAAAAAAGCTAATAATTACAACAATCAAAAATAAAACACTTACTAAAAAAGTAGTATTTTATTTGTTTACCTGCATGTCATGTGACCATTAACCAACCTCAGAGAACCATGAGCATGCAAATTTGTTACTTAAAATTATTAACTTAAATTATCCTTAAGTTGAACCTATTAACCCTAGAATCTCAGGGGTTCTTCAAATAAATATATTAGGTGAAAGAGGTTCGGCTGACAAAAAAAAAAAAAAGTTTGGGAATCCCTGCATTACATATAAATCAGAAATAACATGCATTTGATTAATGCATTTGAAAGATAAAATCCTTCCAAAGACACAGTAATACATGGTATGCATGAGTTATAGAAACTTTCTGTTTCACTGCATTAATAGCATGCTTTAACACTTAACTAAGTGTTGCTAAAATGTTTTAACATGCTTCTAGCATCTTGCCAGCCTATTTAGCACTTGCTGACACTTTTTAATATGTTCCTAGGAGTCCATAACAGTGTTAAACATGTCACTTCCTGTTTCCAGCAGGTGGCACTATAACTATAACTGAATACAGGCATGTAGATGTGTTCAGGACAGGACTCTTATCAAACTTGTTAATTTGGGGGCATTTAGCACTTGCTGACACTTTTTAATATGTTGCTAGGAGTCCATAACAGTGTTAAACATGTCACTTCCTGTTACCAGCAGGTGGCGCTATGACTATAACCTAATACGGCATGTAGATGTGTTCAGGACAGTAGTCTTATCAAACTTGTTAAATTTGGGGCAGATTGGACACTGCATGCCTTAATTACAGTAACTGCTTGTTTCACTGCATTAATAGCATGCTTTAGCACTTAGCTAAGTGTTGCTAGCATGTTATAGTATGTTTCAAGCATATTGCCAGCTTATTTAACACTTGTTTACGCTTTTTAATATGTTCCTAGGAGTCCATAACATTGTTAAGCATGTCACTTCCTGTTGCCAGCAGGTGGCGCTATGATTATAACTGAATAATCCTAAGAAAAACAATAGGGCCCTCGCCTTACTGGCTTGGGCCCTAATAAGAAACGGAGCAATTCCAATAGGGTCCTCACACCATCGGTGCTCGGGCCCTAATGAACATCAGTAGTCAATGCAATGTTGAAATGCTGAGAAAACACTTCTTAAAAATGAAATGATTTGAAATGTGTGGCGTCTCCATTTTCTGTGGAATTAGTCACCGTACTAGACTTTCTGAATTCATATAAGCAGCAGGCTATTTTGGAAAGGAAAAATTTAAAAGATCAACAACAAGAAGTAGGGAGAATCAATAAATTATGAATAATTAATTGCTATAGTGTGAATTATGTTTAATAATGTAATAAAAAAAGTAACTGTAGTCTGATTAAAATGTAATATCATCTAATTACAAGTACTTAATTTTTGGAATCTAATTATGTAATCCAGATTACATGTAATCAGTTTCTACCCAGCTGTGCGCAAGCGAGTATAGATATGTGTCCCTGCAGCACAAAAGCAGTGTTAAGTCGCTGGGGTATATTTGTAGCAATAGCCAACAATACATTGTATGGGTCAAAATTATC